CTTCTGGTTGCTGCACAATAGTGGAGGGCAGGGTTTCACTTAACTGGGGCTTATTTTTGGGAAAGGGCTTATATTACGTGCATCCTGAAAAATCATGCTAGGGCTTATGTCCCACACCCCCAGTGTACCCTATATGTTTTGCCTCTCACACAGGTTCACCTTTGGACATGACTTGTTCTTTCCCCCTTTTTCGCTGCCACCAGAAGATAGTATCCTTACTATATCAATTATGAATCTAACACTCTTGCTGCCAAATATAACAAGGTTTATTTATGGAGCAGTAAGTAAATCACAGAAGGAAAATCATGGATGTTCTATTATCTTTCATTCAATAAACGTGGATTTGATTACATGTAAGCTTGCTTGTATTCATTTACTTTAATCAAGGTCTCAATATATTCTGACTGTCTATGTACTTCTAATTCCTTTTAACTCTTTCATATTCTGTAACACACCAACTGTCCAATATCTTCTCTAAACACTTCACAGTCTTCTAACTCAGTGGTTCTTAACCTTTGTTACTTGGATGCTTTTGAACTGCAACTCCCAGAAACCCCAGTCAGGACAGCTGGTGGTGAAGGCTTCTGGGAGTTGCAGTCCAAAACTCCTGAGTAACCCAAGGTTAAGAACCAGTGTTCTAACTGACTCTCTGGTTCTGTCAGTTCTATTGACTCCACCCCTCCTGTCCTGTCATAGGCTCCTGCAGTAAGACTCTAAAATGACTGACAGGAGTGACGTGTGGGCTGTCCACCACAGTTTATTTTCAGGATAAGCCTCCACCACAGAACTGACCCACCCCACCCCCTCTTCGTTCTTATGCCCCCCTCCAACTGTCACTTCAGACTCCTCCCACTCTTCGTCTGCCAAACACACTTCTATCTTCACCTCCCCCTCTTTCTCTTCTGTCTGCTTTCCCTTTTCTTCTTTACTTTCGCCACTATCTCGTTGACTCTTTATTTCATCCTCTTTTTCCACTTTTACTTCTGCGGACGGCACACTCTTATTCTCCACACCTTCACAGGGAATCCCAGCTACAGTCACTTCAAAAGGTTTGTTACATGCCAGAAGAAAGGGCTTCGCGTGCCAGCTGTGGTACGCATGCCATAGGTTCACCATCATTGCTGTAGGCTCTCTGTGCCAAAGTATTTTGAAAGGCTGTTTTTGAACTTAATTAAATGATAAAGCAAAGATATGAGTATGTGCATCACATACAATTGAGAAATATACACACTCTTTAACCGCTCAGGTAAACTAATGTTGCCATGTCTGCTCCACAGAATGCAGACTAGAAAGCTATGTTCCAATTTCCAAACCCTTTCCTTAGGGTAGGCAACCTGAGGATGAAATGCTATATCTGACAAAAAATTCTGCAAACATATTGTGTGCATATGTCCTAAAGGTGTCCCCTACACTTTTGAAATAAAAAAAGTGTGTTGGGAGTTAGTAAAGATTATCACTAAAAACCAAGGTCAAAATCAATCATACTATGTGAAAGAAAGTGAAGAAAGGCAGGGACAAAAATCAACTAATTTGAAATGTGGTGTTAGCGGAGAACCTTACAGATACCGCAGCCTACCAGAAAGGCAGAAATGGGGTGCTTAATCAAGTCAAGCCTGAGCACTTATTCAACAAATGGACTAAATCAACAGGCAGTAGCTGAAAAATATATATGGAAATGAGAACTGTATATACAAGGCAGAAAAGAGTAAATAGAATGACTCAAAATTTGACATGGCAATAGATATAGATTGGATATTAGAATGTAATTGTCTACCCTCTTCCTCATAAATCCCAACTCCCCCTTTCCCTTGTCACCCCCGATGCTAAAAAATAAAAAATATATATACAAAAAAAAAAGCCTGAGCACTCACTAAAGCAAAAATGAGTCAACTGAGGCTATCCTACCATGCATGTATAATTAAAATACAGAACTGACCAGAAAAGACAATATTGCTGGGAAAAATGGTGGTGGGGAGCAGTATGAAGACCTAACATAAGATATATAGTATTGTCTCAATAAAGGAAGCTACAGCTGACCCTGCAACCTGTATTATTTTAATATTTTAAAAAAGTATGTGGAGCCAACCATTCTCTTTCAAGACAAGCAAGGTAGGTATTCTCCATTTATTTGAACTGATTCAAATTTGGGGATGTTTAAAGTTGCTTGTTTCTGCAGGCGGAGGAATAATTTTACTCTTTAAAAAATTGTAACCAATGTACCCTCTAATTTTCAGCCCTGCTTTGACCCTCTCTCTCTGGCAGCTTCACCCCTGCATGTGTGGTTCTGCCCCCTTGCGTGCTGGGTTCCATCGTGTCCGGAACTTCACACAATTGCTGCATGGAGAAGGAAGAGAGCTGCACAGAGGGAGGTGGAGTTGTGTGCACACCCAGTCTAGCAGGATCGTAACTTGAAACACCTCTGTTCAAACTTCCCCAAATGTGGCACAGAGCAAGAACAGAGTGTCTGCTACACCTGTACCAAATCTGCTGCTTATCTGAAGTCCAGATTCAAAGTTATATACTATATATATTATTTGAGTTTATACAGTATATATTATTTGAGTTATATATAAATTATTTGAGTTTCTCCCATTTTTAGAATTGGCTTGTATAATGTTGATTGGCTCTGCTGCACAATAACATCACTGCACTCTCATGAAGTAATCATTACATTGCACTTCTTATTTCTCAGCATTGTTGATGCATTGGAGCAGACACAGAAGTCAAAGCTAAAAATTAATGAGCTTAGAATTAGCTGTTGAGATGGCATAACTGATAATTCAATTTAGGACACAAATTAGCAGGTATTAGCAATTGTTTTAAAATGGTAACTAAAGATTTTAGAATTACTCCAATTGCTGAAATTAGTATGTTGAAGAAAATGATACAATCTAATTTCCATATCCTTTAATTTCTTCTTCTTGTTAATATTATTAATTACAAAACTGGCAGTAAGACTCTAGTGACATCATACCAAAGAAAAACAAGCAGGGATAAGTGCTGCATGCCTAAAAACTCTGCTTGGAGAACTGAGAATAATGGTGCAGCAAACTGCCTCTAATGATCTTTTCTTAAATTAAGTTACAACTCTTAAAATACATTTTTAAAGATGCATTCTATACAAGGGAGTTGTCGAACATCCAATTTCCTTTGTAAGATATATAGCTTGAATATTTACACGCTATTGTCACCAGTGGCTCATATCTGAGTGCGAAATTACCAGGGAAGACTGCAACACTATAATTTTTTTACTTATACTGTACGTATACGCTACATGCTTTGTTAACATATAAAGAACCAGGTCGGGGTTCAATTTTTACATTAAAAAGATGCGTAGCTGGATGCAAGCTGAACCACTACGTCTTTGCTGTACCCCTTTCCTTTAGTAACATACCAATTTTAGTGTTGAAATTAAACATGTTTGCATGTACAGTATTCCCCATTCAACTATAAATCAGAATAGGGATGGCGAGGTCTAATTTTTCTGATCTTGTTTGAAACTCCCAAGAACCTTAGGCAAACATATATACAGTATGTGGTGGCAATTTTAGGATATAAAAAGCTCCTTGCAAAGGCTTCCCCAGATTGAAGGAGATATCTTCGGAGCCTCAGAACCTTAGGAAACCTAACCTTGAATTGAACATAAACCTCTAAAAATTCAATATATATGTGACGGAGAAACAAATGGGTATGTATATTTAGGAAAGTACAGTACTAGTTTTCAGATAGGGCAAACATGAGAGGGTAATAAATCAGCAGTTTGAAACACTGTATCAACTACTCCATACAAAAATTGTAAAAATCCTGTTTGGTAATATCTATTTCTGAAGCAGCTAGTTTGTATATTTGAGGCTTCAAAATACATACACAAAAATTCTTTATATTGATCCCTCCCATAGGTAGCAAAAAATACTTACATTGTGCTTGCATCCATAAAAGACATAACTACCCTGCAATATTTTTAATTTCTGTACAGTATATAGGTGAATGCCAGCAAGACTACTACCAACATTTCTGAAACTGGTGCAGCAATCCTGAAGCTTTGACATCTAGCCAGGATAATTTTGGATTTATCTTGATCTAACGGAATGTTGTCCTTAAACTGCAGCAAAAAAAGCTGTCTTGCGCCGCTTGAAAGGCTAACAAGTGTTATTGGCCTAAGATAATCCGTTTGCTTCAGTTGCAGGCTGCCAGTTATATACACATAGAGTCAGGAGTGGCACATCACATGCAACGGAAATGCGAAAGATCTTACTGTATGCCCCTGAAGGGGAAGGCGTAGCGGTGGGGTGGGGGCTACAGGCTACGAAAGCTGATGGCTAATAAAAATTGAAATAAAAAAAGGGGGAGCCGTGTAGCATTACAAAACACAAATGCAATAACAGGCGATACCTTTCTAGGCCGCTAATAAAAAAATAAAAAATCGTACAATATGGAGCCTTAGGATTTAGCCATGCAAGATGGCATATTGTATGAGTTATTTTTTGAAAATTTGGGGCCTAGAAAGGTATCGCCTATCCTTGCACTAATAAAAGTTGTTCGCTTTTACGGTGCCACGAGCTGCGTTGCTTTGGCCGTAACAGAATATTATGGCCGCCCTAATGGGGACATCTAATGGGGGGAGGGAGGGAAATAACCTTGTCACCCTATTATTTTGCGTTCACTTTCGAGCAGCATGTGGAGTCCCCAAGTCAAGTCCCAGGGAGCGCCAACTACAGGTGTGTAAAACCGGGGGGGAGGCGACAGTAAACGACGGCTATTATGGGCTGAGGGGAAGCAGCACCTCCTTTCCTCAGGAATGGGGGAGAGCGCGGGGGGGGGGAAGAGCCGCGACCTGCCATTCAAGGGGAAGAGCGTTTAACCGCCAGCCCTGGGGAAGGAACGCACAAGCGCGCGCGCGCCTACGGCTTGTGCGAGTTGGGTGCACGCGCGTGGAGGGCGGGGGCGAGGGGAGCGCAGTGACGTCTCCAGGATGCGGACAGGTTCCTGCTGCGTCCTCCTCCTCCTCCTCCTCCTCAGCTTGTGTAGCGACAGCCCCGGGTTGGTGCCGCCTCTCCGCAGGAGCGGCGTTCGGCGGCGGCTGTGCTTGCCGGGCTGGGCCCCGCCGGCTGGCACCTGCCTCGTTCTTGGGCCGGCCCGGAAGGTTCTGCCCTCCATCTTTTTTCCACCGGTGCGGCCGGACCTCACTGGGCGCGACTGCGCCGAGGGCGGTTTTGGCGCTGAGGGTGCCCGAAGGCCAGACCTTAAGGAAGACCGCCGCCCTCCACCAGAGAAGGTGACTGGCCGCCTGGGGTGGAAAGCGAGGCAAGCTGGCCTCCCCTTTAAGAGGTCCCGGCCTGTCGGCGGAGTTCGGCACGGCTCCTCGGAGGCGACAGAGATAAATGAGGGGAGAGTTTGGGGTTGGGTTCTGCAGACCCTCGGTGTGCGGAGGGGGGGTTTGTTTGAGCGGGGAGGTGGTCTCGCCAGGACAGATAATCTCACTCCTGGTTGGTTGGTGTTCCCCAAAGCTTCCCTTTCCATAGGGCCCTAGCACCTTTTATTTCATGTTTCCAAACTCCTTCCCTACTGAGACGAGGATTTTTAATTCGTTCGCAGATGACTTGGAGTTGAGGTGAATAGCGAGGCGGGCAGGTTGGCTGATCATCTTCAATTGCAGAGGTTAGAGCCAAGGAGGTTGCAAAAAAACAAACAAAAAAAGAAAAATCCTCCAAGCGGATGGCTTTATGCTGAGGGGATGGCTGTTTAAAGGACAAATGAGCTTGATCATAAGCAAGTGCAAAGTGGTGCATATTAGGGCAGTATTCGTTTCACGTGTACAGTCGTCAGTGGGTAACCCAGTCAAAGGACTCTGGGGTTGGGAGGGCTGTCTTGGGTGAAAATGTGAACTTATGGAGTGGGTGCTGTTAAAACAAAAGAAGAAGTTTCTTGCTGGTGTAATTAAAAAGGGAATTGAAACTGCTGGTGTCATACTAGCCTTCCACAAATCCTTGGTTTGTGTACAGTTCTGATCACCAAAACTGAAAAAGGGTGATGTAGAGATGGGAGGTGCAGAAAAGGCAGCCAAAATGATCAAGAGGCTGCCACAGCTGTGCCATGAGAAAAGGCTTACAATGAGTGCAGCTGTGTTTACCTTAGGGGGAAAAAGGTGAGAAATAGGAGGCTTGACAGAAATGTGTAAACTTATACATAGCACATCAGATGTGGATAAGCAGAAGCTTTGCTCCCTCTCTAGTAACACTAGAAGAGTCAGCCAGTGAAACTGAACAGTAAGAGATTTAGGACAGATAAAAAGAATTATTTATTCACAAGCTGCATAAGTACAGTGGAATTTGCTGCCACAGCTTCAGTGGTTTTAAAGGAATATTAGATAAATTCATGGAGAATGGAATTATTAATGGATACTAGTCACAATAGATGCATCTCTCCTGCTTTACCAGAGACAGTATATGTGCTTCTGTATTAGAGTGTGAGCAGAAGAGTGCTTTTGTAGTCATGTCCTCTTTATGTGCTTCCCATAGGTATCTAGATGTCTGCTGTCTAAACATAATGCCTTGGTTCAGATTCAGCTTGACTCATATTTTATCAGATGAGTTTATAGTTTTTTATAGATGTTGCAACTAAAGTAGGTTTCTGATGCATAATGTTTTATCCAGGAGTTGCAGGGATATAGGGAGTGGTTTTCTGTAGTGAATAGGCTCATTTTGTGCATCATCTTCATGGAATACAGATGTGTTAAAAATGGTAGATTTACTTATTTATTTACAAATATACTGTATCTTGCCTGTCTCCTTAAAGATCCAAGGTGCCTTACAGTATTAAAATAAACAAAGTTAAAAGCTAAAAAATAAATTACGAAATTTCAAAAGCATTAAACTGATATATTAAAACTCAGAATAAGAGCAATATTAAAAACACAAGTAAAACAACAGAATAAAATAATCACTTAAAAAAATCCCCTTAGTCAACCACATATCTAAATGAAAGCCTGCCTGGAGAGAAAGGTCTTCATCTGCTTCTGGGAGGATAGCAAAGATGTGGCTAGCCTAGTCTCCCATGGGAGGGAGTTCCAGAATCTGGGAGCAGTGACAGAGAAGATCCTCTTTTATCACACGTGCTATAAGGGTGGTGGGACTGAGAGAAAGGTCTTTACTGATTATCTTAATACTTGGGTTGACTCATAAAGGGAGATATGATAGCTTGGACCCAAGCCGTTTAGGGCTTCAAAAGTTAACCTTTAAAAACCAGCAGTTTGAATTGTGCTGGGAAATGAATGGGCAGCCAGTGGAGCTACTGTAACAGGAGAGTGATGTATTCCCTGTAACCAGCCCCAGTAAACAATCTGGCCATACCTTTTTTGACCCACTGAAGTTTCCAAACACTTTCTAAACATAGATTAGTTACAGTAATCCAGCCGAGATGTAACCAAGGCATGTGTCACCATGGCCAAATCAGCCCTCTCAAGGAACAGACACATCTAGTGCACTAGTTTTAACAGTGTAAGGGCAGTCCTGGCACTGCTGAAAATTGGACATCCAGGCTCAGAGACAAATCCAGGGGCACCCCAAGCTGCACACCTCTGTTTTCACAGGGAGTGTAACCCTATCTAGCACAGGCTGCGTCCCTATTTCTTGATCTTCCTTTTCAGCAGACCAGGAGCGCCTCTGTCTTGTCTGGATTAAGTTTCAGTTTATTTGCTTTCATCCAGTCCTTTACTGATTCCAGACACTAATCTAGAACTGAAACAGCTGCCTCAGATTTAGATGGCAAGGAGATATAGAGTTGGGTGTCATCCGCATACTGGTGACACCAAACCCCCAAACTCGAGTCTAGAAACTTCTCCCATCAGTTTCATGTAAATGTTAAATAGCATAGGGGACAAAACAGATCCCTGAGACAACTCAAGCCAGTGGCCAGGGTGTCAGAAAGGAGTCCCCCAGCACCACCTTCTGAATTCTCCCCTCCAGAAGGACCAGAGCCACTGTAAAACAGTGCTTCCAAGTCCTGTCCCAGAGAGACGGCCAAGAAGGGTATCAGAATCGATGGTATTGAAAGCCACTGAGTGGTCCGACAGGGACACACTCCCCCTGTCCAGTTCCCAGCATAGGTCATCCACCAAGACAACAAAAGTAGTCTGTCCCATAACCAGGCCTTCAGCCAGATTGAAATGTATCTAGGTAATCTATCTCATCCTGGAGCTGAGAAGCCTACTTGCCCATGAATGGAACATTAGACACTGGCTGGTAATTATCCTATACTGTGATATCCAAGGAGGATTTTTTCAACATTGGTTTTACTGCTGCCTGATTTAAGCATGCTAGGATCCAACTCTGCTCTAAGGAGGCATTTGCCACACCTTGTACCCACTTGGACAGCCCCCCTTTGGCAGCTTTTATGAGCCAGGAAAGGCAAGAGTCCGGCAGACATGTAGTGATCACCTCTCCCAAGTATCCCATTCACATCATCAGGGTGCAAAAACTGAAACTTCTCCCTTAACACAGAACAAGCAGAGACCATAGTTAACATCCACAGGGCCTGAGTTCACTACAGAATCCAAGTCAGAGCAGATCTGAGTGTTTTTGCCTGCAAAGTGTTGTGCACATTTTTCGCAGTGAGCTTCAGAGTGGTCTGCATTCCCTTCCTGCGGGCTAGCATTTAATAAGTCCTTGACAATTCAAAAGAGCTCTGCCAGATGACTCTGTGCAGATGCAGTCATGGCAAAGAAGAATGACTGCCATGGAATAGGCCTTCCAATGGATAGTTAGATTCAATCTGAGTTTTCTGCTATTATCATTCCATCTCACTCATTTCATCACTACCAGCTCTCCAGTAAACCAGTGTGGGTGGGCAGTTTGACCCTATATGATTTTTTTAATTTGAACTATAACTCTCTTGTGTCCTAAGGGACTCCATCTCATGTCCTAAGGGGCTCCAGTGATGATTTATTTTATACCACATTAATAGAATCACAGCATTTAAATTATTCAGGATGGTGCCAAAACATTTTAAAAGGAGACCTTATCAGTGAAATACACATCATGTTTTTTTCAACAGAGGCAGCTGCGTGTAGAGAATTCCCATAAAGCAGTACAGACTGTTTTTCTACACAACAACCTGTATGTATCTACTAGGGAAGCCTGTACAAACTGTTCACGTATCCACCTGTTTCTCTGCCTCATCCAAGTTGCAGATTTTCTGGCACTTGAGACACTTGTGTTGGGGCAGAGGAGTGGATTTGGATGTGGGAAATGTGCCAGACCTCTGATTTCTCCCACTAACTAGTTGCACTGTGTGTGCATGCATAGGCAAACAAAGAAACAAAAAAGTATCTTATATATACTTATAACTAAGGATTTCACAGAGTAGTTCCTCTGCCTTACTGAAGAAACCAAAAATGACAAAACCAAAAGTATTGTGGCACTTTTGTGACTGAAAAAAGAAAGTATTTCAGTGTAAGTTTTCATAGTGTACAACCCACTTTTTCAGAAACATCACACTCACACAGAAATAAATTTGTTTTGTCTTAAAGATTCCACATTACTTTGTTTGATTATGTTATTTTAAATAAATGCCACACCCATGGGGCAGGCACTTCAGGAAGGGCTTCGTATGAAAATTTTAGGGTTTGTATGGGAGAACACATTTTTAAAATACTCTGAATTAGTCTGGCTAGGGAGAAGAATAAGGTTACAGTAATTGTTTTAGCATCTTTACCATCAGTGTGGTTGCTTTCAAGATGTAAGTTCTTGGTAAGGACTACAATTAATCATAATGGGAAGAGGGAGACCAAGCCAAACAGCCAGTAGTGACCCTGGAATCTCCTGATTTGCAAAGAGATGCAGTGTCTCTAAAGGCCTCTGTTCTGTGTCAAATGAAGACTGATCTCCTCAAACCTGCATCACTATGGAATGCTGGTTGTGATGGAGTAATCTGTCTTTATTTTGCAAGAAGCTTTACATTTATGACTTTAAAACAACTAGTTCTTATGACTGTAGGTTGTTAGGCAGTACAGTGGTGCCTCGCTAGACGATTGCTTCGTTTAACGATGAATTCGCTTTACGATGAGGTTTTCGGAGCGATCTTGCACTTCGTTTAATGATGTTTCCTATGGGTGATTTTCACTTTACGATGTTAGGGACCTTGCCTCGCAAGACGATTAAATTTTAGGTCCCTGTTTTTCGCTTTATGATGGTTTTGACAGCTTGGTCTTGCTTCACTATACGAGTCTTTTAATGGTCTCTGTTTCATTAGACGGCTGTCTTTGCTTGGGAACCGCGT